GCCCAATTGGATTAATCACGAACGAGTTTCAAACACCTGCTTATATGATAGATTTCGATTCCGATTAATTGCGAATAATTTACAAAAATACGTATCTAAGACGAACTCCTAACATTCATACTAAAGAAGCTAAAAAAATGCTAGGTTTATTCTAAACTGCAAGCTTACAACTGTACGCTGAAACTGTTTTAGCTGGTTATATTAACATTCTCTTTTCAGATTTTCTGATCCACTAAATCCATGCAATACTCCTGCTCGCATAACCTAATAACTTGGTGTGTGTTTCCTTCAGTTAAGACCAATGCGCTTTAGACATACTTGTGCTCTATGAAGCTGTCAAATACAGTCATTCGTTTTCCTGCGGTGGCGAGACCGCTGTGCCCAGGGCTGCAATCAGCAAGGTACTGGCGCCCTGAATGCTCGCTGGCACAATCGGCTGAAAATGTCACTATCGTGTCAAAACTACCGTTTAGCCCCACTGCTTCCAAATGTGGGACTCATACCACTCGTGTAAAAGACCCCTGGAGGCGTTTTAATTCAACAAAAAAAAAAAGCTGTGAAAGCTTTGAAATTCTTGGTGTAAAAGAACAAACTTTTACAGTCCGGGCTGCTGGCGCCAATAAAAGCCGTTTTAACGCATCACCTCCTAATCCTCGGACCTTAGACCGGGGATTTAGCCGAATTTATCTACTGCAGGTAGCGCCAGTTGGTGCCGTACTTTTGGGTCTGTCGGGCTTTTCCGAGATTAGTATCCCTCCTTTTTTTTCCCCCAAATCCCAACCACAGCCGCTGTGCCAGATCTTACCAAACTCTTCCGAAAGCAGCCAGCTGAACCTATTTCAGACGCCGTCTTCAGCGCTCATGGACTTGCGGCCGGTCTTGAGGCAACAGCAACAAAAAAGAGGGGGATGGGGAAAGGAACTAGTTTTTAGAAGCAAGTTGAACTTGGAGATTGGGTTGCGCCAAGCGGGTCTCCTTCCCAGCCATCGCTCCTGTCACATTGTGTGACCATGCATGACTGGATCCATCAAGTCATCACCCTGCAGCGCACGCCACGCCCCTGGGCTCCCACTGCCCATCGCCACGCGTCTGCGCGTCCCCGGGGGCGCCGGCACGCCGCCTCTCACACACACACACACGACCCCGCCGCTCCCCAGAATCACACAAGCAGCCCCCCGAGTGTTCATGTCCTACTGGGAGAGGGCGGAGGGAACTCAGGTGAACTGGCAGCCCAGTACGTGATCTCCTGTCACAGCCTGAGGAGCAGTGAGTCTGTCTCCCAATAAATATGTCCCACTATGTTTACAGTATATGCAAATGTTTTGTGATATGTCTTCGTTGTAAATGTAATATGTCTGTAGATTTTATTTTACTTTTTGTTTCGTTTCATGTTAATTTTATTATTTTTATTTGCTTTGGCAACACTGATTGTGCCCATCAGTCATGCTAATGAAGCCCCTTGAATTGAATTGAACTGATGTCCCCCCGCCTGCGCGCACGCAGCAACACTGCCGGGCTCTGTCGGCGTCGATAAGTTCAGTATCATTAAAAAACCAAACGACAAAAAAAAACAAAAAACAACACACGACAAAAGACGGGATCTAGCATTGATCCCAAAGGTATTCCGTAGTTGAAGAGTTAAAACTTTCAGGTTAACGGGCACTGCTCTCCGGAGGATAGAAATGTGGAAGACAGCGCCCCCTTTGGTCGGATTCCGCCATGCTCACCTCCCTTCGGCGTGAGGTTTGGGGTCTGCAAACCTCGGACTTTCTCGATAAATAAACAAGACCCCCCCTCCCAAAAAAAAAAAGTGTGAAGCATTTTCTTTATTAAAACGGCCGCAAACGTTTACACATAGAAAAACATACCAAAAGGGTTCGTGCATATTTAAACCAGATCACATATACGTGTTTCCATGTGCACAGTAAAGATGATAAAGACTATTTAAATTCGTCTGAAAACATGAAAAGGTTTCATCCTTCATCATTCTTCCGCCATCGCTGCATTTCCTGTGCCACTGTGCCCGGGACACGGCAACACGCTGAACAGAGAGGTGAAAGGTTATCACTGCAAAGCTCTCACCTCAAGCGCTGTTTCATGATCCTACAGAAGCGCTTTATCTTACAGTTCCTTCAGATTCCTTTACTGAAACTTCCGAACTGAAAAAAGAACATTTCGCAGCCGCCGCTCTCTCGGCAGCGCGGTCCTGACAACACAAATGACCCCGCCGATGCAGGCGCTTCGTTTTTTCTGCGTTTTTGTTGTAAACGATAAAAAAAAAGAGATGAATTGGCAGTAGGGAAGGAGTATGCGAAGCACACAGCATGTGCTCTCAGGGACCGCTCCTGCCACGGTGGGTTTACCTCCTTTATTAGCAGCGACGACTGAGATGGAGAGAGGGGTCAGATCCAAGCCCGTTATACTGTACGTAAACATGACAATTACCAGGAATAAAGGGATCATTTTACACCTTTATGAGGAAATGTTCCAAAGGGGTAATGGGATATCACTACATTCCCGTGTTTCCATCCCAGCCTACAAAAACAGTTCTCGGTGGCCACTCTCTGGGTTCGGTTACAAATACTGTATTTGTGGTTTCATTTTCATAAGTGACCGGTCTTGCTCAAATATTTGTCGTCTGCATCCGGTGTATTTTTAAAACCAGAACACCAGAATCTGGTGTTTTCAAGAAATTGAAAGATTGTGACCTATTTTGTTTGTTTTATTTCAAGATGTTAGGAAGCACAGTCTGAATTTGAATTATTCACGTACATTAAACACTTTAAAAGGGTACATGGTGACATGACTGATACCAAGAGGATGCCATGCTCATTTTTACAAGACAACCTAAAGAAAGTGACCAAGCTTTTATCCTTGTAGGGATGTGGTTACAGGCTGGTACGGGAACACCTCACATCCACTGGCAGTGTTTATTGTACGCGACACACTACCACTTCAGAGACATTCATTTTCATCGGAAACGGGGAAAAAAAGTTACCATATCTGCCAAAAGACAGTTAAAGCACAGAGAAGCCCGTTGTTTCAGAATGATCCAGTGTGGACTGGAGGGATCACAAGTTGAATAGCCTTACTGAAGCCTTAAACCTTGATGCCCAGGACTCAGACTGCTACAGTTCATTCCAGGATTCACTGTCACTGCAGAGACCGGAGTCTAATACTGCACTTTAAAACACCACCGGCTCCTAGCTGCTTTGGAAACATGAAGCTGAGAAGCAGCTGGGCTAGAGAAGAGACATCAGTTGAAGCCTCACACGGTCAGGTTTCCCCAATACTTTTCCAAAGCTCGCTCTCCCTCGGCACAGGGGTAACCACCAGTGTCTCCTCCGCTTTCAAGCATATTGTCCTGCGGAAATTGCTACAGTCCTGCCGTTACAATACATGCTCATTAATGTTGAGTAACTATTATTGTTCTCCAAAGTCAAATTCCTTCATTCGTCAGCAGAAAACCACTCAGGCCTGGTAAGGCCTTGGCAATCATATCTACCTGGAAGCGCAGAGCCCCTGCCGGGCACACACCCAGTCGAGAGACGCCTTTTCACCAGCCAGCATGTCTCTGGGAGGCAGAAGGAGGCCAGTGTAGCCGTACCAAGCCCACATGACCATGGGAGAACATGCTAACTCCACACGGAAGGTCCCTCGTGTCAGAACTAAAAGCAGGATGCAAGAGCAGAGCCTTTTGCTCCAAACCACACCGGCATGGGGACCACAGAGCAAAGGGTCTCCTCTCTCTAAAACTGGGGGTCCACACGACTGGGTGAATGGACAGAGATTTTTTTTTCCTGTATTGATTAATGTTAATATTTAACCTTATTACAAATAAGCACAGAACTGATAATATATACATTTTAAAATGGCAATTTATCTAAATTAATTTACTCATTTTTAATAAAATAGATGATTCATCTAATTGTATGTGACACTTACATTTATATAGTTACTGTATAACAACATTTTTAAATGTTTAATTGGCCCTAAAATAATAAAAGCCTATAAACATTTTATTGGCAGTTGCAATCCTATTTTCAGTTTTGGCTTCAGTTAATATCACTTACTGTGATTACAGAATAAGGCCATAAAGATGTTCTAAAAAAAGGAAAATTTTCTCCACATTCTAAATATGACTGTACATATCCTTCTCAAGGAAACCACTAAATACACAAAGACCACAAAGCACGTTGTTGGAATTGGTCTCCTTTTGGATCAATTTCTTTCTTATTCTTTAGTTTTAGATTTTGTAGCTCAACATTTTGGGCCATCTAACAGAAGCAAAAAAAAAGTAGTTAGATGCACATGGTGCAAAAAACATCAAGTCTATCTGCTCATTTTTGTTTTAGTTTACTGCCATCAATTGTAATAAATAAAATATAGGCTACAGTACATATTGCACTTTAAATATTTACAGAATCACCAGCAATAAAGTTATAAAAGTGAAGAGATTTTGTCTTAATCATTATATCAACTCTCATTGTACTTTAAATATTCATATAATAAATATTATTTAAATATCTATGATGAAAACTAGTCAATGCTTTTTCTTCACCAAAGCATATAAATGCCAAGAGATGTAAAAAAAGGCTATTTTTCAGCAGAGCCTGTAGAATAACACCTGCTTTGTTTTTTTTTTGTTTTTTTTTTTGCTGTTGGTAGATGAGCCCAAAGCAGTGGCCATCGGGAGGCACCCCGGTGAAGCCAGTGGGGTGTCTGACCTCGTGCACCGTCGGCGCCCACAGTGTCGGCCTCTGGGAGCCTGGAGGTGGTCCGGAAAACACCTCCGGCGTGGTCACTAGGTGTCGCTGTCAGCCCTAACGGAGGAAAACCAATAGAAGACACTTGGGGGCGACTGGAAAGCTTCCTCTCCTCACTGCGTGGGCGCCTGGGCGCGGAGGATCTCCCCCTGTGCTGGCGGCCACCGTGCACACCAGGGGTTCCAGCAGCAAGGCACGTTTTCAGGGACAACGCCGGCGTCACGGCCAAGTGCCCAGCGGGGCGCCTCTAGGCCAGCTTCTCGGGGGCCGAGGACTTGAGGCTGCAGGTTTCCGACAGCAGCAGCTCGTTAGCCTTGTTCTGCAGGCGCTCCTTCTCCCGCGAAACGTGTCTCGGGTGGAAGGAGGGCTTGTCCTGGCCGCCGCAGCTCCTCATCAGCGCCTTGGCGACCAGGTAGCCCAGCTCGGCCACGTTCAGGATGATGCAGATCCCCGAGGTGGCGATCATGAAGATGCTGAAGACCGTCTTCTCGGTGGGCCGGGAGATGAAGCAGTCCACGGTGTTGGGGCAGGGCCAGTCGGTGCACTTGACCAGGCGGGGCATCTGGAAGCCGCTGTAGATGTAGTAGAAGATGTAAATGAAGGCGGTCTCGAACAGCAGCCTGAAGAAGAGGCTGGTGGTGTAGGTCCACCACAGGGGCCCCGTGATGTGCATCCGTTTCTTCCTCAGCTCCTCCAGGTCCTCCTCGGCCTTCTCGCCGTGGGCGCGCAGAATGTCCCTCTTGAAGCCGCGCTTGCGGTACGCCACGTGCATGGTCACCAGCAGGGCCGGGGTGGAGACGAAGATGAGCTGGAGGCACCACAGCCGAATGTGGGAGATGGGGAAGTAACGGTCGTAGCAGACGTTCTTGCAGCCGGGCTGCAGCGTGTTGCAGGTGAAGTCCGACTGCTCGTCCCCCCAGACGCTCTCGGCGGCGACCACCAGGATCATGATGCGGAAGACGAAGACGACCGACAGCCAGACCTTGCCCAGGCTGGTGGAGTGCTTGTTCACCCCCCCCAGCAGGGCGTACAGCTGGCCCCAGCTCATCCTGGGGGGGAAAAGAGAGAGACAACGTGCTCAGGTCAGGGCACAACTCACACCCGCCTGAACCTCAGTCTACCGCCGGTTCCTCGCCCCGAGAGTCAGTGCGGAGCGAGGCGTGCGGAGCTCGTTGCATTTTGTCTTAAAAAAAAAAAAAAAAAAAACAACCAAAAACCCAACGAAAACAAGCAACCTGGTTTAAAAAGTTAAAATGAAAAAACCCCTGAAGCAAGCCAACCCCCCACCCCCCAAAACGGAAAAAAAGAAAAAAAAACATCAAGCCAGATGATTGCATTTTAGCTGAAGGGCACTACGTATAGCGAGGACGATCTACAGAAGATGTACCGGGACATATGGATTTATGACATCTATTCAGTCGGACGGAGCAGCAGCACTGTGGCTCAGGATCTGCGCCTGAGGCTGGAAGGTTGCCGGTTCGTATCCCACAGCCGGCAGAGGAATCCTACTCCCTCGGGCCCCAGAGCAAGGCCCTTCACCCCAACTGCTCCAGGGGGGCTGCACAAATAACTGGCCCTGCACTCAGACCCCCAGCTTCTCTCCCTGCCTGTGTGTCTCATGGAGAGCAAGCTGGGGTATGAGAAAAGACAAACTCCTAATGCAAGAGCTTGTACAGTATATGGCCAATAAAGTGATCTCATCTCTCTTCTTAGTTCAACGCAGATATTAAAACCGCCCGAGTAAGGGAACCGAGTCAGTCAGCTTCATTCGGAGCTGAAAGGTGGAGAAGGGAAACTCTATCCCAGCTGTGGCGCTTTCTCCTGGCCACCTGCTCCCCTCCCGCGCTCCACTTCTTACTTAATCTGTCTTTTTATTCCCCCTCGCTGGGTCCTTGTCACTTCCCCTGTCCCCTCGCACCTGAAGAAGGCCCCACCGCCGGAACGCGGCGCCTTTTCTCTACCCGACAGCACGGAAAGCAGCTCCCAGCCGATCAAGGAAACCGTGCAGCGGCGAGGAGACGGGCATTCTCGTGTTGACCCCTAGGAGGCGCTACAGACTTAAAATTGACGTTGGTCGGCTTCCACCTTGGCGAGATTGTGGGGCTGCACTACGCGTTGCAAGAACGCCAAATAAAGATAAGCATATTGCAAGGTTTTTAAAAGAGAAAAAAAAAGACTGCTGATATTAGCTTTTAAAGTCTGAACTAAACTATATAACACGTTGTGTTCTCTTTCTTCTTTTTTTCAGCATGGAATAAACCTGTTACTTGTTCCTTTGCAGCCTACGCATGCTGACGCAGCTGCCCACCTGAACTATATAACACGTACGGACTCTTACTCTTATTCCGCCGTATCCGGCTGCGATATGCAATAAAGTATCTTACCTTTTTCTATATATTATAGAATTCTTCACAAGAATACAGTCAATATTTCAGTCCGAGCAAAGACGTGTTTATTGTTAAATTACCCCTAAATATTTAAAAAAAACTCACAAGACGATTTAAGCTCTTCAATACAAAAGACTTATTTTTTTTAGATAAATCACAAATGTGCCTTAAGACGTCAGTGTGTCGCATAAACGCGCGTCTGTACCGCATAAGACAACGGTTGTTTATTTGAGCTACTCTTGAGATGAACACAAGGACCATACAAAATACTGCAAGACATTTTTGCAATGGCGAAATTCAGTTATAATAAAATGCAATAGCTGCTCTGCTGTTGACCCCGTCTCTTGTAATCTGTTATCTGAACTAGAAATTCTCAGGCCCTATTAATTTGCATTTCAAATCGATTTGGCAATTCATTCACGCTATTTATGTTAGATTATTCACGCCACAGAATCGAAGAAATAAGTGTTTTTGTACCGCGTTTATGAAACATCAACTTTCCTTAACTTTCAAAAAAGTTAACACCACCCCCCTTCCGAGTGGGGGAGACTTGGTTTGAACATTTGAAACACGCATACGAGATAACCCGTTAGGTTTTTGTTTTCGGTTTTCGAGTTATCACTGGACAAACTAAGCTCAGTAGAGCAGGAAAAGGTGCAAAAACAACAAGAAAAAAAAGGAAAACTCGCCAGTGCCGGCGGTTCTGTGAAAGAATGAGGACGGGGGAATAAATCAGTGCACTCCAGATTCCTTACCTTTGATATAGCCTTCCAACAAAGTCTTTGAATAACTTAACCGCACATTAAAAGTCACCCGCTGCCTCGGGTATTTTATCGCCTTCCTCCTCGATACGAAGAAAATCTTTCCCGACCGCAGACGATGCCAGCGTTTTTACAGCAAACTGGACCGGCGAAGTCCGAAACCCTTCTGCTCGCTGTCCTCAGAAAGGCACCTGACTTCAGGGTCCACCTGCGTGACGTAGGAGGCGTGTTCCGCTCCAGGGCGTGACGTGTTCAAGGCGGCTGCATTGTTTCCGACGCCTGTGCAGAGAACCGACTCATTTTCTCACATCTTCAGGAGGTGCCGAACCTTCATCGAGTTTAATTTGATCTGCTCTCAACCCATTTTTTGTTTTATCTTTCCACTTTAGTGATTGCCCACCCAACAAAAAAAAGTGAAACGATAGAAATTTAGAAATCAATAATACATAATAATAAAATAAGATGAGCCCCCGAGCCTGTATTGAATTCAGTGGTTAAACATGGATGGACGGATGACAATAAGATTAATAATAATGTCAACGTTAGTATTTCACTGCCGTTATCTCGTCTCTATCAACCAGGGAGAATTTGCGCGGTAGAGAATCCTGCCAACTCGCTAGAGGCCCTATGGAGATGAAAATGGACATTAATCTATTATTAGCTAATTATTATTATTATTATTATTATTATTATTATTATTATTATTATTAGCGGGGCTGTTCAAATGCTGTCTGCAGTGGTTCCAAGGGAATGTGCCGTCTGCTTTAGAGGGCAGCTACATCTGCTTACACTTACATGAAACAGCATCGGGACAAATCTGTCCCAAGTACTCAGCACACGGACTTACGTGACGAGAGACTGTCTCAAATCTTACAGCCTCAGGGTGGTTAACCCGAATTTTAACCTAAGAGCATTTATTACATATTGAATCATATGATTCTAGCCCCAAGATGCGGCAAGAATTATAAAATACAGCAAGAGGTTTGAACTTGTCGCAGATGCCCAATGTCGTATATGTGCCCGTATTTGTTTAAAAAACGATAACGATAATTAAACAATTATCGACTATAAAACATTTCTACGTGTTCATTACGGAGCAGACATCGTTAACTGAACGCGAGATTTTGTTACTGTATATTCAGCTCTTCCCAAATTCAGCGGTACAAGGCACTTCAACTACAAAGGGTCACACGAGTGCTAGGGTGCATTTTCTTTATTCCTTTTTATGAAGCACGGTCACTTTCTGCACAATCCAGGCGAATTGCTTTCGTTTCGTGCTTATGCGGACAATTAAATGGAATCAGATACAATTACATATAAACTGTAGTAAAAATAAAAATGTAGACTAAGATATACATGGAAATTGTTTATTATCGTCATGATAAAACTGTTAGATTATTGTGTCCCCTTTTTAAATCTTCGATCCGATCCTTTTTCTTTACAACCGTTACTGTATCAAAAACTCCCTACTGATCATCTGTCTTGAGACGTCAATAATGTTTAGGAAGATATGAACTTATCACACGAGATACCTTGTGTCGAGAGACTGAACTTTTTACCTGCTGGGCAGTCAATGAACCCGTGATAAACACTACCGGTTTTCTAGAATAAAATATTCATGGTGCTTAATATAATGTAGCATATTTTGCAGTGTTTTAGCCGTCTTAGTTTTTAATAACTGCAAAAGCAATCGCAAAAATCCTATTCCACTGAACACTACCATGTACAATTCAAAAGCTTATTTTGTTTTACAGTCACAAGGTGGTTTTGTTACATTTAATAAAAGCGACGAACAAAAAGGCCTCTTCACTGTAAGGCACAAGTAAGCCTTTATTTTACAAGTTCAACAGAATAAGCCTGTCTTTGAGTTAATTAGTTACGAGAAACAGCCCGTGCTACGTATAACTGTTACAGTTATGTAATAGGGACCATTGATTGACTTGATCTTCAGTTCATTACGGTCATTTTTCTTCTGTCGGCGTGCCAACCGGCCACACCCCACCCGCAGACTTCATCCCTCTCCATGACCTGCTAGCGCACCGAGGTTGTCCGGGATAGCTGTTCAGATATAAATTAAGAAACTGAGACGGTATTAATCCTATGAATATATCAAACATTAAGTCTCTCTTCGCTCCCTTTTCAATCCGTCACACACGATACACAACCTTCCACCTCGCCATTTTGCCTTTAACCTCGCTTTCCTTGACCGGAGACGCACGCAGAGGCACACTGCGAATGTGACTTCTTCGCTTCGACTTGGGAGTTATTCTTCAATCAGTATCTCAGTAGCAACAACTTGAAAATTGTGGGCAAGATTCCGACAATTTGCAGAAATCTGAAGTTGGCGGGCACACGGATGTCACTGCTCTCCTCCCCACTGAGAGCTGGTGGTGGGGGGGGGGCGGACTGGCGCGTCGTCCAGGTGGGGCTGCACACTGGTGGGGGTGGAGGGGATCCCCGTGATCTGTAAAGCGCTTTGAGTGGAGTGTCCAGAAAAGCGCTGTATTCGTGGAAGCAATTATTATTATTAAACCCTTTCACTCGACGTTTATCTTTTTAACTTTTTTTTTCCCGCTGGGCAGTCAATGAACCCGTGATAAACACTACTGGTTTTGACAGCGGAACGGCACAGAGAATAAAAGGAGAATGAAGTATTCATGGTGCTTAGAATAATCGAGCTTATTTAGCAGCATTTTATCCTCCTTACTTAATAACTGCAAATGCAGGCACAGAAATCCTATTCTGCTGAACACCACCACTCGCACGCGTGGTGGTTTTGTCTTTCTAACTGCGTTGGACGAAGTGCAGCGTGTGGGGCCTCGTCACAGCTCTGCGTCAAATACACTGGTTATATCAACTTACTGAGAACCCTGTGCGCGCAGGGAGGCCTCTTCAGCTAACAAGCGTCACAGCTGGAGGAGAGAGTGTCGGATAACGCCGTGTGTCTCTACTAAATCCTCCCTCGGTCAGTCCCTGAGGGGGGTCGATCAGGTCCTCTGTCGGGTTTTTACCCAAATCCGCCACACAAGCGCGCTGTGTTAGAAACAGCGCAAACCACCGGGTTAGTCATGTTCAGTTCTATTCAATTCAAGATGCCTTATTGGCCTGACTGATGAGGGCAATCCGTGTTGCCCAAGCGAATTAAATAAAATTAACATGAAACAAAACAAAACAAAACAAAACAAAACATAAAAATACAAAATAAAATAAAATCTACAGACATTTACAACAAAGATATATCATAAATGTACATATACTGTAAACATTTGGAACATTACAGGGAGACAGGCTCACTGTTCCTCAGGCTGGGACAGGAGATCACATACTGGGCTGCCAGTTCAACTCCTCCCTCTCCTAGTAGGATTGGGACCCGAATTTAGGGACGAGGGTTTCTCTACTCCCAGAGTATCTGTCACAGTGCACATCTCAGTGTCATTCCGTGTCATTCTCTTAATATCTCATGCGATGAAACAGGAACATAGGTCTACCCGGAGCGAGTGTCGCACAGCCCAGAGATCTGCGGAGAAGGCGCGCTGCAGTGGCTAGGCTCCGCAACAGCCTTTCTGTTAGACTTGACGCCTACCTTTGCTTAAATTAAGCCATTTTGGGCGGTTTCCAGTTGCCCCAAACTCCAGCGTTGACTATTAACTTCAGCGATGACTGTGTATCGATTGTTACAGCCGATTTCATCTTCCGGGAGTTAAATATATCCATTTCGAGTTCTGCTTCCTAGGGCCACGGCCTTAACATCCTGATACTTAGTGCCACATATTTGACATTTCCACCTCCAGGCCTGTTACTGACTGTATAGGCAACATTTTCTATTGTAATTCTCCAGAGTTCACGTGGGTATGCGCCCCAGCCGCTGCCGCCTCAGGTCGGCCCCCCTCCGCTGTGGACTCGAACCCGGGCCTCCGGCGTCACTCGACAGCTGACCCAGCCAGCTGGGCTCAAGGGAGATCTCCCGGCTCGAACAACCTGCAATGGTGGCCGTATGCGTTACACTACGCTTAAGACCTCGCCGTTTGCTTGGAAAACGATTGCAGCTTAAATTGTTCCAGAAAATATTTTCATGAATTGGTATTAACGTTTTAAATAGCAAATACTGCACAAAAGTTGTACCGAAATGCCATACTTTCACAGTAGTATTGCTGCAAGTTCATATAATATAGGAAAAACTTCACGTTTTTGCTTCACACGAATTGGCATCAACACAACACGGGTGCTTTGCTGAGGTTTTTCCCGAAGGCCTCACTCGACGAATCGGACACCGTGTATGTTAATTAAATGTTAATTAATTTACCGGGGAGATGTCACACCTGGGCATTGCACTGAAGCGATCCGAGCCTAGTCTGTTGCTCAAGCGCACAGTCGTGGGGTTTGGGCTCAGAACCGTACTATTGCGAGTCCGAACCCCGTCTCCACACAGCCGGCTCTTATCACGGAATATTTCAGCTGCTAGTTTTTATTTCCACGAGCAAAACGACGGGTAGAGAGGCAGGCGTCTCGTAACTATGCAGTCTGTTTCATCGGTTGTTGTTTTTTTGTTGATGAAACGAAACATCCGTTTTTATTTTCTAATTAGCGCATGAGCCCGTGGAAAAGGTTTCACCTTCTCTGAAAGACTTCTCTGCCGTCTTCTTCAAGAATTCCAGGAATTTCGTTTTTTAACTTCAGTCTTGAAATATTTATTAGGTTTTACAGAACGTTAATGCGAACTAAAATATTATAAAAACATATCACTAGCTGTGCAGCTTTACTTTGTAGAAATGTCTTCTATTCACCCATACATGCATTTTCTAGCCGCTTCTTCCAACAAACATATTAGGAGTTGTTAATACGATAGTGATCTTAGATTCACACTTACTGTACTGTACTGTTCGTACAAATCATGTGATACAAAGATCGCAGAGATCAAGGATCGAGTATACAGGGCCGGAGTTTACTTCCAAGACTAATAAGAGTTAAAAAAAAGCCCTGCGTTATTTTTAAAAGTTATGAATTCAAATAAACTAATTGTATCGGTCGTACAGTATCATTTTGATGGACATTTTCTGCTTTTGCTTAGTGACTGGATGGGTGGACATTTAAGAGGACCCCACTCAGTCCGACAGATTCACTGTTAGGATGAACCCTAACCCGGCGGATTTGCTCTCTGTCGTTTAGACCGTATCAATGTCGTGAGGTTTAGCCCGGTTGATGCAGGTTTGCCTCGTCTGCCCTGGGAGTGCTGCCGCTTGGCTCCGGGGGTCGGGGCAGCTCGCAGAGGACAGCCGAGGTCTGTCCGGACACACGGCCTGCCTGCCCGGCGTCGCCGCTTGTGCTCTGCGGGCAGGGAACCGGGAGGAACAGCGCCAGAAACACCCCGAAAACAGCTCGCTTCTCCCCGTTTGGCGAAGAAAGAAACGCCCCGTTTGGCGCTGCCGTGGGACAGGATGTAGGGCTGGTCTTTCTGCTGTGGAGCCGTGCTCGACTTTGATAATAATAATAATAATAATAATAATAATAATTGCTTACACTTATATAGCGCTTTTCTGAACACTCCACTCAAAGCGCTTTACAGTAATGGGGATCCCCTCCACCACCACCAGTGTGCAGCCCCACCTGGATGACAGTGAGCCTGGGCTGGGGGAAATATTCGGCCCGTGTTCTGAAAATCGGAGGGTCCTCCCGTTTCCTACTGCTTCTTGAAATACAGGGTCAGCCGGAGCCTATCCCGGCGAGCAGGTACACCCTGGACAGGACAGACAGACACACCCCTCACAATTCCTAGAAGCCAATTAACCTTCCGGCAGGTCTCTGGACTGCGGGAGGAAACCAGTGCAGTATTTGAACGTGTTAAACAAAAAGTTGTTTAAGAAAAATACAAACACATGACTGTGAAAGATCATGTCTTAAAATATAAAAGAGGAAAAACACAATTTACTGTATTTTTTTTTATCAGACACGTCTGCACAATAGAAATCCTGCAGTCCGATCCCGTGGAGTTTCTGTGTGTCGGGAAATTGGAAGAATAAAAGAATGAAAGCGAGATCTACAGTAGCTCGTCTGATACGAGAATTTCGTTCAGCCTCTTCTTGAACAACAAAGCGGTATCAATTACACGTTACAATTCAATCCTGTAGCCTGACCTATGAAATTGGCTGAGGTCACAGGGCTGTTTATAGGAAATTAATTTATAATTACGAAGTACTGAAACTAATGAAGCGTTTTTACGGTACTTTGTTATTTCCAGAGTTAATATATCACAGTTAACATGCGCTAAAATCGGTTACTGATTTACCGAAATCCAATTACCCAAACAACCTTATTCTTTACGGATTATATTTTCTCTGAACAAATCTCAGTTGAGAGGTAATCCAGTAATGGCTGGAGGAGAACTACCAATAATCGAAGGAGCTCAAGCAACTGGCCCGCTGTGGATTGTAACCCTTCTGCTGTCTTCGCACAACGCGAGGTTTTTTGAAGCATATGAGGTCTATTCAGAAATTAAGTGTTAGCTTTCAAGTGACCTTTAATAGTAGAATAGGGCTTTTCTTTTTAAATAATAGGACAAAGAGCACTTGATTTGCGTGGTATCAGACAAGATCAGTTCCATGATTATAATTACGCCAGGCCTGTGGTCATGTTGCAGACTTCTTGCTCCACATAAGAATCGTATCTTCTTTAACTCTGAATGTGAAGATGTTACATTTTTCATCATCCTGAAAACATTAATTTTACTTCATCACTTTCTCGTCGTTCTCTAAGCATTTACACAAATCACATTTACTGCAGGTGGGTCTGTTCACACACATGTCTGACAAAGAACAATCCAAGCTCAAACTCTTATTAGATTATGGTATCACGTCAAACCAATGGCACATGTTTATTTCTTCTTAAAACTACTGAATAACTAGAACATGTAAGCAAGTGTCAGATAGAAGTGAATTTGATTCAGTTAAACAGGATGGGACTCCTTCCACTGTGCAAAATCTGGGTTATACAGTAACTGCACTGTCCTGTAGTCCAAATCTGTGTCAAACTGGAACATGTCATTTGGTTACAATCGATGTAAGTATTCAGAAGTGTGTTGGAGCACCAGGAAGACTTCTGCTTTGTAATACAGGAGATGTGTGTGTCGTGGGAGTGGGGTATTGGTACTGTATGTCTAGACCAGAGACACAACTTTGATCACTGCAGCAACACATTTGACTTACTTCCGAACCGAGATGAGTCTATTTAATAAGTCTAAAAATATTAAGCAATTACATGGTTTATAACATTTGTTTTTAATTTGAGAGAATTGAAAGAAATCAAATTGGTTATTCAGACCACTGATATTGTATTTTCAATAACAGATCAAAAAAGGGTTAAATTAGTTTAATTTTGAAGGACTTTGTTCACCTACGTACTGCCTTTGTTGGCCTTATTAGGGTTTTTCGATGAGGCTGGAAACTTCACTAAACTGGACTCTGCACTTGAGCTTCTAATAATAACATGATCTTGAGCTTCTGATAATAACAATTCACTGTTGCAGATAACCCCTATAAGATACCTCTGCACTTACTTCCCAATAAGTTGCATTTACTTCACAACACTTTCTACCAAGCCCTATACAGCCAACACAATGAGATCTTTTTTTTTCTTTGTGGTGTTGATAACGCAGGCCTTTTTAAACCGGAGATGGTAAATAAAGTCAATCCAAAATGAAGTGGTTTGTGTATTTCTATAAATTTCAGCATTTACAGGAAGCTGTTTTTATTAAACTGTTCATAGTGAAATATAAAAGGAGAAAACTGTTTCAACACACTCTGCCCTGGTAGTTCCATTATTAAAAGAAATTCCTTTACCAGTCTTATTTTAACAACACTGGAAATATGTGTAATACTATGAGTTCAATGCGGTGTTTTAAGTTTTTATAAAAATACAAACATGGCAACAAAGGAGGTAAAGGGTTTTAAATCAGGTTTAGTAGCTTGACAGTAGCTTGTTTAGTTACAATCCTCTTCCTTTTTGAGAAGTCCTTACACAAAACAGGTGGATTGCCAAAACCACAAAAACATCCATTAAGATCCTGATTTTCTTGAAATCCAGGAATTTATTCCAAGCAGAAAACCAAACCCGTGAATTTACTCTGGTCTTTCCTGCTTTAAGATTCAGGAAATCATGAAATAAGGAGCTGACTTGATGTGTTCCTTTAAGAAGACAAAACCCCAAACATCACCACCCTTAAAAAATGTCATCCCAATTTTTTATTCCGCTTGTCTGTTAATGTATTTGAAAACAAAGGCATTGAATTAAATCAAATGAGATAAGAACAGAATTCAAGCTTATCCAAATATCAGCAATCATTGTGCAAAGCAACTGTTACAACCAGTCAGTCAGGCTGCAGGAGGGGAAGGGCAGTGAGGTGTGTGTCTCCTAGGGGTCCATGTTCCTCTTCAGCTGCGCCAGGCCCAGTAGGCAGCGATCCCTCCTCTCTCTCCGAGCGTTCAAGTGCTGGGCGTCACAGGGGATCAACTCGCACATCTCCTGTATCGAGATCGGAGCCGAGCATTAAAACCCAGAGCCGGCTGGGTAGAACTGGAAGAAGAGGAACATTTTTCATGCATTTTACTTGTCATTTAAATTGAGAGGCGTACAGTGCTAGGAAAAAATGTGTGAAACCCTCTTGGTTGGTCCGCGTTTTTGTATGTTTTTGACCTAAAACATTTTTCATGATTTTCATGAAATTCTTAAAAAGAGATGCAGGTAATCTGATTTAACACATTACACAAACTAGTGGCACCTACTTTAGCAGCAATGACTTCAACTAGACACTTCCTAGTGATTGTTTCCTGTACCTGTTTATCGCTCTGTGGTGTTGGGGTGCAAGTAGTCACAGAGTAAAAAGTGACACTTTATCCAGACGGTCAACTGGAGAGAAGAATAGTTTCTACTCTGCTCAAAAATAGATTTCCTTTCAAGGGATTTTTAGAATGCAAGCACAGTCCCAGTCAATCTATTGCGTTACTAGAAATGTCAAGACAAGTGACAAGGAGAGAATACATATATTTCAAATATAAATACAGAATGTAAAAGGACACTATGGAATAGGAATATACTGTATTAAATGCAAAAATGCTGAAAAAGTCCAGCTGCCTGAGAACATCACAAATTCAGACAATCAGCTAAACAGGCCACAGCCAAAGTCAAACAACCAGTTTGCCTGAATTCTACACTCATAACAACTTTTGAGAACTCTGTCCCTTTCCTTCTTATAGAACTAATTCACTTTTGGCTCAGGATCAGCTGACAAATGGAGGTTCTGATATTCTCCTCCAGAATTAAAGCTGTCCAGGTCCTGAGGCGTCACAGCCCACCCAGAATCATGACACCCCCACCACCATGACCGGCGGTCAGGATGAGCGTCTTCTGTGGGAAGCCAAAGTGTGTTTCTTTGCCACACTGAATGTTTTACAAGTGAAAAAAAGTCATTTTATGACTCATCTTTCCAGAGCACTTTCTTCCAGTATTCCTGTGGATCGTGGATTGTGCTCTTTGGTGAACTTTGAGCCCGGCAGAAATGTATTTATGGATTGTCCGGGTTGCTTTTGGGGAGATGCAGGCAGGATGAAAGGATCCTGGGCAGAGCCAGCGTGGTCTTGACTATCTTCTATTTGCAGACCCTGGCAGCGGATGGATGGAGACCCAGACTGTCCCGTGAAGTCTCTTTTGCTTACACTATGTCATGTTTCATATCCTAACCATTAGAACAATCTAGCCATTATATAGGACACAGGGCTGTCCAAACGCAGTCCTTGTTTCCTTGCTTTCAATTATTTAAGTACCTATTCTGATCACTCCTTTATTTGTGCTAAGTAAACTTGGGGTTCACGTATTATTTCATATTCACTGATATTTGTTCTACTTCCTGTATCATTGTGTCTCAAAAATAGATTATTCTGGGTACGTGTTCACAGTTATCGACCAATGTAGGATAAACACTGGGAGCATCTTTTAAGAGGGCGGACCAGACTTGTAACTGTTAGCAGTAACGATATCAGAAACATTACTGAATCGGAACAGAAAGGGAGACATTTCAAAGCTCTGTAACCCTTCGCTGTCTGCTGTCATTCTGCAGATTTCTGAAAGCAATATCACTTGCCATCTCTTCAAGACCACTGCTGATTATACTCCGCACCCGTGAAACACCAGCTCTATCCAGTCAGGCATTGTTACATAAAGAATGATCATGACACAACTGCAACTCTTGCCGAAGAATTGATGGCATTTTTGTTGCAACAGGTTTATACATAGCAGAAGCAACACTTTAACAATATAAGGAAAGAGGAAGCCTGTCAGTCAAACTGGCTTGTTTCTGATAGCAAACTGATCTGTGGAGCTTAGGAATGTGGTGCCTAATGCAGAGACACAGAAGGGAAATAGTAAAAACCAAAGTTTGTCAGAAGATGCATGGCCTCTTTTGCGCTAGAACTATTTGTTTCCTGTAAAATAAAAGAGCAGTCTCTAGGGTATAGATGTACTGTATAGTTGTTGTCTCTGTTCCCTTTCTATGGATTTCTTCCATCTGACGCATTCAGTGTTGTTTTTCTATACAGTAGCTCGCGATTACGTAACAAATACATTCATGTGACAGCCATGACCGCTTGTTTGTTTCCTGGGTGTTTGCTGATCTGTGAAAACCATCTTGCACCCTCTCCACCCAGGCTTAATAACTACCCTAGGGACAAAAACAGCCAGGACGTTTTTGTACTCATTGCTTCAATTTACAAATGTTTAACATTTTATCATTTTTTGCCTAGTTTTGATCTAAACATCTGTTTCCACCGTTCCAATTTTAATAGAAAGGAACGCAGGAGAATCCCAGCTCTGAACTTTGCACAATGGATGTGATTGATGAATCATTAAAAAGCTCAGACACTTATCTACTTCGGCCTTGTAAGACAAAGGGAGGTTTCGACCTTTGAAAGTTTGGACCAAAGTTACTGAACGTTAAGTCGTGGAGAATGATGTTGCATAAATCAACAAAAGAAAAACAACATTCTCATTTTTTGGGGGGTTTGGAAATTATGCAAACAAACTGTGTTTCTCTCCCTTTCCTCCCAGTCTGGACCTGGCAACTTTTAACCAGTGGTTTAACACTCCGCCCGTTCTAAGGGTAAGAGTCCAGGTTTTTCTCTGACCAGGGCGCTGTCCAGACGTTCGCCCTCCACACGGAGCCACTCCACCGGACTCACGGGTGGGACACGTCCCAGGAAATACTGCAGCACCCTGGGGAACCCCTGTCACAGCGGGAGGACAAACACTGTCCCGTTCCAGTCTGCGTACACTGGGACAGCTGGGCTCAGCAGCTTCCCTGTTATAGGCATTAATAATAATAATAATAATAATAATAATAATAATAATAATAATAATAATAATAATTCCTCACACTTATAGAGTGTTTTTTTCTGGACACTGCACTCAAAGCGCTTTACAGGTAATGGGGATCCCCTCCACCACCACCAGTGTGCAGCCCCACCTGGATTAAGCTCCAGTCCTCTCCCCACACACCAGCTCTCAGTGGGGAGGAGAGCAGATTGATTAAACCAGTTCAAAGATGGTGGTTATTAGGAGGCCATGACTGGTAAAGGCCAGGGGCAAATTTGGCCAGGACACCAGGGTAACACCCTACTCTTTTCGAGAAACACCCTGGTTTTTTAATGACCACAGAGAGTCAGGACCGTGGTTTTAGGTCTCATCCAAAGGACGGTGCTTTTTTACAGTACAGTGTCATATAAACATAATTAGCTGTCTCTTCCCGACTAAAAGGGGAAGCAGAAATACTGTAGCAAAGGAAGTTAGATGTGTCACAAGGCACCATGACACAAAACTTCAAAAAACAAAATGAAATGTGAAATGATAGCTAGTATTTAGTTGTTTTTTTTGCTGTAAAGTACATCCATTTTTGCCCAGCATCCCATGGCAGAAGCAGCACGGGGGAGGAAGAGTGTGACCGGACCACCCAGACCTGATTAATCTTCTTCGCCTCCTCGCCTGAGAAATCCGGCACCGGCCCAAAAGACGTCAGGACCCTCTTCATGCCATCCCTGTAGCGCTTCAGATAGTCCTCAAGACCTGGAAGGACAGGCAGGAATGATGCGGACATGCTGAACACTGACAGGGCCTCACTGGCTCCAGCCATGCAGTGAGAGAATGGAGACTGGAGTGTAAGAGAATATCGACACTTGAAAGGCTGGTCCCCACCGGTAAAGAGATATTTATTACTGAGCTTGGAGGACTGGGCCCCACCCTGACTATACAGCGGAATCTCACCCTTAAAGCCATCTGCCGTGCTGGGGTCCCTCTAGAGAGAAGAACGTCCCTTTCTCACCACTGAGAACAGGGTTGGACGTGAATTGACGATCACACTTTCATCACTGAACCGCACCATTTCATGAACAGTCACGCAAAACGCTCATAAAATACAAGGTAAAAAAAAAGGATTTTTGGGTAAAGCTCTGACAGAATTGTTCCTAAAATGGAACGATGTCAGAAAGCCCTCTAAAGCCCCTTGAGACAACAACAGAAGCCAGCACCACATGACCTGAAGTGTCTCCTGAGGTGCGCAGGTGAACAGAAGTGAGTTTGAAATACACTGCCTCAAAGAACTCACAAGTGGCCTCAAAGAACTCACGAGTGGCCTCAAAGAACTCACGAGTGGCCTCAAAGAACTCACGAGTGGCCTCAAGTTTTATTTTTGTTTTTGCTTCAGTAAAGAGGTGCTTTAAAGCTGTTTTTTTTTCCTCAAAATAAAAAGGCGAGTGTTTTCTGCAGGGTTTACAGGTCTAAATCAGCTCATTACTGGCTTAGCCAGAGATATGTAACAAGCTCTCCCAGCTCTTCAGGGGCTTTGAACAGACACAGAAAACCTGCAAACACACTAACGGGCTGGTCAGTGCACAACACCTAATCATTTTTCAGCATGTACAAAGTCTTGCACTTGAAGACATGATGCGACACCACTGTTACACTAAGAGGGAACGTGACCGTGATGTAGCACCATATGGTGCACATGGTGCACAGGACACTCTGCAATGTGTTGTGCAGTCTGTCAGCACAAAATCCTTATACATTATTCCCTGTCTGCTTCAGGGGAAGAATTTTCCTAATACTCGTATTATCTTGTGCTTCAACCACTTCAGAGCTCCTTCAGAGCAAAACTACACCTGGAGCTTACTTTAGAGTGGCCAAGCAAAAGGCAGTCAGGAAACATCTCGCTTTCGAATCGATCAATTCTCCTCCGACGAAAGGAGGGATAATCTCAGCAGCCTCTGCCCTGCTGGAAGCAAACCTGCAGGACATTAAGCACAGTTTGCAAGACGGTTCCAGCCAGGAGCAGGTATGGTGTTCAAAGACAGTGCTCACTCAGGACGAGCTTTGGTATTAGGTGACTACTAGTGCTTTCATTCCTTAATCGACATATCTAAAAATGTCAATTTTTGACAGACTGACGAAGGAGACACAGAGGCCTTCCGCTGTATCACGTCTAAAATTTGGATCACCATGAAGAATGTGATCACATCAAATCCTGAAGAATTGTGACATCGCTACTTTGTAGCCATCAGCAGGAAATCTAATGAAACAAAAAGGAAGAGCAGCTGTCAGAGGAACTATTATTCACCGTAAATATGTACAACAGTAGGAATGGGACTGTGGAGGCTGAAGTATTTCCAGGGACCAGCACCTCGTCCTTCGCTTGCTGACTTCAGACTGTTGTTTAGCAGTGGTTGCCGGTAACGGCTGTCACGAAGTTTCTGAAATCTGAGGTTCCACTTGGGTAGAAATACAGATTTCTTATCAAGATATCTTACCAGGTCAAGTGACTACATAAACAACGCTGTACATTGTGCAGAAGGCATGAATAAGCAAGAGCAGCAAACCAACCCATGTATCTCCTGTTGTTCAGTGCTAGAGTGACAAGACAAAAGGCCTCAAGGAAGGAGAGGCAGTTTTTGCAAAAACATTTTAAACTCTGAGATTTGTTTTCAAATGCACACAATGGCAGGTATGCAATCTTTAAAATTTTGAGTATGATGTATGAACACATTCTAAAAATACTTTAAAAAATAAATATTTATGGAAATACTGCTTCTGAATACTTTGAATGGGTTTCGAACATTTGCTCAACTCTTCAGTGTCTTCTTGTACCGCAAACTGTGATTTGTTTTGGTGGTCTCAAACCAGACAGCCTCCACTGCCCTCCAGGTTAAGGACTGGCCTGTATCAACGGTGTGTTATAGCATCGCCAGGGCATGTATCGAGCTCTTCGAGACATGAATTTCGGAGGACTGCAGACACACACTTACACAGCTGTAAGAAATGTGTAAGCATGTTGTTCTGTGAATCAGTCTGGGTTGGGCTTCTGTGATAACTCAGTATGAGGCCCAACTCACCATGTCCACCCCACACCCACACAACACACATAACACATAGTGTAGACATAGCAATCAACGCTGCAATACACAGGGTCTCAGAAACAGGCAGTCAACTGACACCGGCTTCTTTTCAGTTCAACACACACATTGCTGTAACAAAGAGTTTTGATTTCTAGGGACTGTTCTGATCAGGGAATTGGCAGGGCAAAAATTTGATGCTTTTTATGCAGTGCCTCATCTTGGTATAAATATTCTCTCTTCTGACATGTAACATGCATTATGCTTTGCTTGCTAATACCTGTTCTGTATGGTCTGTTTCTAGTTCAGAGTCTAGTTACAGGAGGTCAGGAGTGCTACAGGAGGTCATTCTTGCCTTCTTCCAGAAGACTGTACAACACATCAACTTTGCGTCTGGGCAGGGGCAACATTGACATTGACCTGTTTCTGGACTGAACAGTAAACTCTCTGCTACATCCGGCTTTCTTGTTTACAACCTTTTATGTGCAATATATGCCAGGGACTTGTGCAATACATTTATATTTATATTTATATTGTGCAATACGATTTTTTGTGTTTGTTCTTTGTGTGTTCTGGACTGTGAGTAGCTCTTCTTAGTGCACTTCTCACTGACTGTACTGATTGTATTGTGTTGTATTATTATTATTGTATCATTCTTTACACTGTTGCTGTATTGTCTGTGTTTAGCTGCTGTTGCACTGGAATTTCCCTCACGGGATCAATACAGTATCTATCTATCTAGTTTAGAGTCTTGAGCATTTGCATAGTCTAAGGGTTTGCAAAACCAGTTTTTCAGTGATGTTTCCTTAAAGTTTCGTTTAGTTCAGGGTTCAGTGAGTTAATTTTAAAGTGCTGACCTTGAATTTTGTCACTGAATGCCTCTGCATATTCTTGGAGCCACTAACTACTCTCATTATTTCCTGATTGTGCTTCAGGTAAAGTAAGGAACTGCAAAAATCAGTTCAATATAAGGGTCAGGTGTCAAGCAGAATTTAAGTGGCTTTGCAAAGATATTCTCAGCTCTGATATACCACTATACAAGCCTATTGTCCAGCGCCAACCTGTGACCATGAGGACTGTGAGGAGATGGTCTCAGGAGGCTATGGAGGATCTATGTGGTGCTTTGGAGGCCACCGACTGGGATGTGCTGCGCGAACCACATGGGGACGACATAGACAGCATGGTGGACTGTGTCACTGACTACATTAACTTCTGCGTAGACAACACCATCCCCACCAAAGACGTACACTGCTTTTCCAATAACAAACCCTGGATCACCAGCGCCCTGAAGGCTCTTCTGAATGACAAGAAGAGAGCCTTTAGGAGGGGGAATAAGGAAGACGTCAAGCGTGTACAGAGGGAGCTAAAGCAGAAGTTAAGAGAGAGCAAGGACGCCTACAGGAGGAAGGTAGAGGACAAGCTGCAAAGGAATAGGGTGAGAGATGTATGGAGCTGCATGAGAGAGATCTCTGGCTTCAAACAGGCTGGGGGTGCAACAGAAGGGAACCTGGAGATGGCCAACGAGTTGAACCAGTTCTTTAACAGGTTTGATTCTGGGTCCCCTGTGGCTCAACACCCATCCCCCCACAGCAGCACGCTCCCTAACCCTTCACAGCTGCGACTGCCTAACACCTCCTCCATCCCCCCACAAACATGGCCGCCTACAGCTACAACCCCCAACAGCTACTTACCCACCCATCCCCCGCAGCTGCCACTCTCCAACACCTCCGCCATTCACACCTGCAGCACTGACAGAGCTATGAGCACCATCCCCCAGTCCAGGCTGACCATCACGGCTGACCAGGTGAAGAAGGAGCTGAAGAGGCTGCACCAGGGTAAGGCCACAGGACCAGATAACATCTGCCCCAGAATTCTGAGGGCCGGTGCTGATCAGCTGAGCGGAGTGCTCCAGCGACTGTTCAACCTGAGCCTGCGCTTGGAGAGAGTCCCGGTGCTCTGGAAGACATCATGCCTGGTCCCGGTACCAAAGAAAGGGC